AACATGGGTCTGCGCAGGCTGCCTTTATCTAACAAAGCACATCCAGCACGTGCCGAGTGTATTTATATAACCGCAGTTCATCTGGCTCCAGGGGAGAACAGCCACATCCAACAGAAAGGTGTGTGCAACATTTTTTCTTTTTGACTTCTTCTCTTTATAATTTATACTCAGGGTTTGAGGTTCCCTGTATGTATACTTTTGTTTATGCACGAAAGATATCCCATTTTTGCCAACCGTTGGTTTTTTTTTTTTCTGAAATGCCATCTCCCTCCCACTGCTGCTGTTATCAAAATAATAATGATAATAAACATCAGCCACATAACACCACAGAATTAATCACTGTTAATAAGGAAGACAAAAAAGTCTGGGTAATGGACGCTGCAGTGCCTGGAGACAGCGGAAGAGAAGAGGGAGAACTGGAGAAGATCCCAAAATGCAAAGACCTGCAAATTGAAGTAAAATGACTGTGGTCCTTGGGTGCAATCCTAAACATCTGGAGCACCACTTGAACTCTAGAAAGACTCTAGAAAGAGTACAGAGAAGAGCAACAAAGATGATTAGGGGACTGGAGGCTAAAACATATAAGGAACGGCTGCTGGAATTGGGTATGTCTAGTTTAACGAAGAGGAGGACGGGGGGGGGGATGATAGCAGTCTTCCAATATCTCAGGGGCTGCCCCAAAGAAGAGGGAGTCAAGCTATTTTCCAAGGCGCCTGAAGGCAGGACAAGAAGCAACGGATGGAAACTAACCAAGGAGAGAAGCAACCTAGAACTAAGGAGAAACTTCCTGACAGTTAGAACAATTAACCAGTGGAACAACCTGCCTCCAGAAGCTGGGAATGCACCAACACTGGAAGTTTTTAAGAAGAAACTGGACAGCCATTTGTCCGAAATGGTATAGGGTTTCCTGCCTGAGCAGGAGGTTGGACTAGATGGCCTCCAAGGTCCCTTCCAACTTTATCATCATCTCATTATCTCATATCGGCATTGAAAAATTCACCGTCAGTCAATTGCAAAGGGCAGCTTGACTTGGGACAGCTTCCAACCCGCAAGGAGAGCTTTAAAGTTCAAATAACATCTGCCTATCCCAGGTCCTTGGGAAGGACTTGATAGGCGGACAAACCTGCCAAATTCAGTCTGAACATCTGGCTGACTGTGCAACCGACTATACTGAGAGCCCTTCAATCTTGAGAAACAGAATTGAATTCTCTGGAAGGGTAAAATTCTTTAACACAATAGGGAAAACTGTATCTGGATGTTACAGTTTTGTAAGCCTTGGCTGTTCGGCCAGCCCGAAACCCTGTGGGCTAAAATTGCAGAGATTGCTGGTTTATGAAGCTCCAGACTCCCGTGCAATTTGCAAAACATCTGGATGGCATGTCTATGGAGATTCTCCGTTTTCTAGGCTGTGGTTGTCCCAAAGGTGCTTTTTCCAAAAGGCAACTGGACTTCCTTGGTTTTTTTTCTTTGAAAGTATTTTGCTTCTCATCCAAGAAGCTCCTTCAGTTCAGGTCCCTTGAGATCATCCAGCATTTCCCCCGTTTTGTGCAGGTTTGAACAATCCCTGACCCACAGCTGTCAAGGCTTTGCTTGAACTTACCCAGGGAAAGTGAAAGAGAAAGGGGAAAGAAGGGAGGAGGGAGGGAGGGAGGGAGGGAAGGAATATAGAGAGAATGAAGGAAGGAAGGAAGGAAGGAAGGAAGGAAGGGAAAGGAAAGGAAAGGAAAGGAAAGGAAGGAAGGAAGGAAGGAAGGAAAGGAAAGGAAAGGAAAGGAAAGGAAAGGAAGGAAGGAAGCCCTTCCCCCAATTTATTCAACTGCTTTTATAATTAGGAAATTCTCCCTAACTTTCCACTGGGATCATCCTTTCTCTCATGTCCATTATTCCATCCTTCAGCAGCCTCTGAGCATATGCAGAGTGCACCTTCCTACCTACCACTTCTGCCCATCTTCTGGCTGGGGCATTTTTTTCAGGGGCATCGGAAAGAACCAGACACCCTTGAGTTTTACAGCACATGGTCATCCTTGCTAAAAGTCCACCTTTCACACAGTTCTGCCTTTTCTGAGTCCTGAAACCTGTGACGGACCAGCAAAGAGATATATACCGGTATATATATATCACCTTTAGAAACCGCCTGTCTCCTTCCCAGAGCACGTTTGTGTGTGCGTTTGTGAGAAAAAACCCCCGGCCCCTCTTAACGTGCCTGTCAATCACCTGTCGCTTTAACCTGCAGCCCCACCTCGCACAGATCGCGCTCAGTTTCCCGCCCTGCAGCTTTCGCAAACTCACACCCGCAACCAAAACAATCCGTGTGGAAGAGAGTTTGCATGTCCCTGGCAGGTCGCCCCCCCCCCCGCTTCCAGGCTCAGAGGACACCCCAACGTCAGGCAGCAATCCCCCCCCTCTCCCCCGAAAGAGCTCTCCCATCTACCTGCTGTCCAGAAGCTGGGATCCTCGCTCTGAGCGCCTGCATTTCCCCTGCCTGTCAATCATTAAACAGGTAGCAAACAAGGACTGAGACAGAGAGCGCCATCCTCTTCCTCCTGGGCCAACGTGACGGAAAACAGGTGTGCAAAGGCCCGCTGAAAGGGCCCGCCCTGGCTTCGCTTCTCCTCCTCTTCAAGCAGAGAGTGGCTCTCCGCCTCACCTGCGCCAGGTAGAAGCAGGAGAGCAGGGCGGGCTGGCAGGTAACTCGATTCTCTCGGGGCAGAAGGATCTGGCCCAGCCCTTTTCCAGCGCTGGGTGGCAGCTGCTTCTCGGGCAGGGCGGCGTGCCAAAGTGACAGATGCCACCTGCCGTTTTCCAAGCCGGGCGGGGGGGGGGACCTCGTCTTAGCCGCTTGGTGGGGCTGAGCAGGTGAGTGCCCCACCTGAGAAAAGGGTCATCCTTACAATACAGGGAGTCCCCGACTTACCACCACAATGGAGCCCCCAATGTATGTTGCTCAGTGAGACATTTGTTAAGTGGGTTTTGCCCCATTTTGTGACTTTTCTTGCCTCGGTTGCTAAGTGAATCACTGCAGGTTAGTCCCACGGTCGCTAAGCGAATCTGGCTTCCCCACCGATGTTGCTGGTCAGAAGGTCGCAAATGTGATGGAGCACCCAGTACTTCTGGTGGGTGGCAAGTCGTTCCACTGGTTAATTGTTCTCAGTGCCAGGAAATTTCTCCCTATTTCTAGGTTGGTTCTTTCTTTAAATGAGTTTCCACTCACTACTTATCCTGCCCGCAGGTGCTTTGGAGAATAAATCGACAACAAATAGGTTGAACCCCTCTTCTCTGTAACAGCCCGACTGGAAGACTACTATCACGTCAACTTTTAAGACTTGTGGACTTCAACTCCCAGAATTCCCCAGCCAGTTAATACGTATATACAGCAAGGGTGTCCAACATTGGCAATTTTTAAGACTTGTGGCCTTCAATTCCCAGAATTCCCCAGCCAGCCATGCTCAGGTTGAAAAATATTAATCTGGAACATATTTAGCTACAAGCACAACACTCCCCGAGTTACTAAGCATAAACTATGCTTTATTTCTTCGCACCGAAAAGTCACAACCGCACTTTAAGGAAGTACAAAAGAAACTTGAGAAGCTAGAACAGTAAAAGCTTTATCAAGATTTAACTCAACCGTCTGCCCCACAGTGCTCCAACCTTTGCCCCAAACAGCCGCCAAAGCTGGGCTCTAGAGTCCAAAAAGCAGATGACAGCATCACAATTGCACAAAACCAAACAAAGAAGTCGATGACAGACTAAAATGTTTGCATTTTTTTTTGCATAACCTCAAATCCGGGAGAAAAGTAATGTGACTTTTAGATGGGCAGCCACGTCCGGCAGATGCAAATAAAGATATTTTTAGACGGCTTAAAAAGCAAAAATGTTATCCTAGATTTCTTCAAGGTTCACAACGCACGGGTTGTCGCACCCCAGGTTCACGTGATGGCCATTTCCTAGCTGGCTTCCAACAAGCAGAATCAATGGGGGGGGGAAGGGGGGGAAGCTGGATTCACAACTGAAATGATTCGCTTAACCAGCAATGCAAAAAGGTTATTGACATCAGGCACAAACTCAACTGGGACCTGCCGTGTTTAATAACGGAAAGTCTGGTCCCAACAGCTGTCGTAATTCAAGGACTACCAAAAGCTAGATATTTCTGATAACATTTTTTTTGTGAACACATTTATATTGATGATATTTATAAACAAAAACTACCCCGCAATTTATTTCAATTTGAACTTGCTCTTGGGAAGAATCTGCAGAAGCAGCACAAGTAGACCTCAATGTTTTGATTTAGTGACCGTTCGAAGGTACAACACTGAAAAAAGTGACTTATGACCGTTTTTCCACACTTACGACAACTGCAGCATCCCCACAGCATGTGACCAAAATTCAGACGCTTGGCAACTGACTCGTATTTATGACGGTCACAGTGTCCCGGGGTCACGTGATCCCCTTTGGCTACCTTCTGACAAGCAAAATCAAAGGTGGAAGCAGGATTCACTTAACAATCTGTGTTACTAACTTAACAACTGTGGCAAGGAAAGTGGAGCAAAACTCACTTAACAAGCGTCTTGCTTAGCAACAGAAATTTTGGGCTCAATTGTGGTCGTAAGTCGAGGACCACCTGTATCTGCAGCACCCAAGAAGAGCATCAAAACAGGCCAAATGTGTGATTTTGATTTTCCTGTCTTCAATTTATAGCCTTAATCTACCCAAAAAATGGCAAACCAAAACATTAAAGTGCCTTAAAAAACTTGGTGGAAAGAATGGCCTTCTCTGTGTTACTGAACTACATCTCCCATTATCCTTCTCCGCTAGTCAAGTGGACGGAGGGCTGACGGGAGCGTCACACAACTTAGGTGAGATGGGCGGCGTAGAAATTTAATAAAATAAAATAAACTTGGCGTATCACCTGGCAGAAAAGAGGTTCACAGTTGGCCTCCAGGGCTGTTTGAGAAAACCCCAATCTCTCTTCCTTTTTTTATTTATTTTTTTTAAGCATCTTCTCCTCCTTTCTGACGGTAAGCGTAATTTTCCAGCCACACCTGGAGAACCTAAATCCTGGAAAATGTTTGAACAGCGGCCGGAGGGCAAGGCTTTGAAACCTTTTCATCCTTGACTTAATTAGACGAAGCCGAATAAACTGTATACAATTTTGGGTGTTTGTTTGCATAGTTTAGGCATGCTGGGGAAAAAACAAAAGCATTGTTTAGCCCAAGCTTGCTGACGTCCGTTTGGAACTGCATTATGTCCCATTTACAGTTCCACGGGGTGATCTTGAGTGGGGGGGCTTGCACCAATTCCCTCTCACCGCCTCCTGGGGGCGCCACCCCCGCCGTGCAATACGCCGGTCACTTCCTCTGGCCGAGAATAATGGACGTTTTCAGCACTTTGGGGACGTGGCGGATGGTGAGAGACACCCGGGTCTGACGAGGCAGCGTGTCCCCAAAGTCACAGCCACACAGGCTGGCATTAGCCACTTTCTGCGTGACGGTGTCCGCCGTGACGGGGCGGATACCATGTAGGTAGCGCACATACATGTCTTCCTGCAGGATTAGGAGGCTGCGGGGCTTCAGAAGCAAGCAGAAGGCGTGGCGCTGCTCCTCGGTCTGCGGGGCCGAATTCTGCAGGGGAAAAAGCTCAACAGGGTTGGAAAAAAGGTCATTTACAATGCGGGATCCACAGAATCAGATTCTCGCCTTAACAAGGCCAGATCAAATGAGAGCTAGCCAGTTCCACGCACCCACGACATCTACTCATCTTCCAGCTGATGAGGTGGAGAAACTGCCCTAGAGTAGGGGTTACTACAGGCAGCCCTTGACTTTCAACAGTTCACTTAGTTCAAAGTTACAACGGCCCCGAAAAAGGTGACATAACCGTTTTCCACACGTACGACCGTTGCAGCATTCCCCCACGGTCACGTGATCGAAATTCAGATGCTTGACTCATGCTTATGACGGACGCAGCGTCCCGGGGTCATGTGACCTTTGTGACCTTCTGACAAGCAAAGTCAATGGAGAAGCCAGATTCACTTAACGACCGGGTTACTAACTTGGAAAACTGCACTGATTCACTTAACAACTGTTAAATGGTCGTAAAATGGGTGCAAGGTTCAATTAACGACCGTCTCGCCTAGTAATGGAAATTTTGGGCTCAACTGGGGTGGTAAGTCAAGGAGCCGCCTGTAAAGTTAAGAGGATTGTTGTGGTTTTGTGTTTTGAGCTCACCTTTTGGGTTTCGGGTGGCGCTTCTCCGGTAACGGGGTGGTAGAAGTCGAGGAGAGTGTGAGACCCCAAATTGATGGTGGTAACAGTAGGATAATACAGCGGGCCGTCTTCGTGCGGCTGCAAGCAAACCGAGAATTAGTAAAGCGGCACTTGGATCCCCCCCCAAGATAAAAAGAGAAGGGGGGAACCCCCCTCATGGTTACCATGATGCCCTGGCCAGGTTGGTATTCGTTCACCAGGACATGGTTGGCTGCCTTTCCTCCGAAGACCCCGAGGGAGGACACGCGGTCCACGTAACGCTGCAGCCAGGGGGGCAATTTCTCTGCCACCATCCCCTTCGGGTGGGGCAGCCCTCCTGCAGGGGGGCGACAAAGACAACGCTGAACGTTACTCTTGGCACCAACAGGACCGTGACCTTGATGGAGATAGAATGGGGCGGACCAATTCCGCTCCCCACCCCACAAATGGTACACTCCAAATAGAAAGGAAACTCGAGAGCCCAGAATTCCAAGCGAGCACGGGCCCAAACTATGGGAATTCTGGGTGTTGTAGTCCTAGCACACTGGAGGACCTCAGGCAGCCATATAAATCTGTTTATACAGATAGTCAATTTATAATGCTTTCCAAATTAAAGATGGATTGAAAAAGCTGACTTGTGAGCAGTCCTTCCACTTATAGCAGCAGTTCCCAAACTTTTCTCTACCCTGCACCGCCAAAACGCTTCTGATATATCCTCGCACCCCTTACAAAAGTTAGAAATAATGGCAACTAATTATGCGTATACACTATAATTTTGAAAACCCAAGTTTTCGCACCCCCTGGAATACTGTCTCGCACCCCCGGTTGGGAACCCTTGACCTCGGGATCAAAATTTGGTAACCAGGATGTCTTTACAACGGTTGCAGCATCCCGGGGTCACGTGATCACCATCTGCAACCTTCCAAGCCAACTTCCAAAAAGCAAAGTCATTGGGGGAAGCCATATTCGCTTAGCGACCATGTGACTCACTTAAGCACTCGTGTTAATTGTCTGCTCGTGTTAAATTCTGCTCTCTGTTGTGATCGTAAACTGAAGACTCCCTATAAATAAAGCTCTTTTTTTTCTTCTGTACTTGCATATGCACGGGCAAACAATTTATCACTGATGAGGTTACCTAGTTGGGTCGTGAAACGTCTGCAAGGAAACAACCCAGCTCAAAAAGCACCAAGGAGCCCTCAATTCTACCCTGAGCTACGAAAATTCTCTTTCTTGCCACAATTTACCCCAATTTTGCAGTCTCCTGCCGGACAGCTGTGTCCACTTGGGCTTCGGTGCATTATAAATCTGGAAATTGGAAAGAGAAAGAGATTAATTTCTAGAAGGCTGGCTTGGGAAGCAAACCAGCTTAGGCAGATCCCTCCCAAAGCATCACACAAAAGGTATCATTGTTAGAAGGTTCTCCTTTGCACCTCTGGAAGGTTACAACATCTGCACGTACTTGCTGCAACAGGTATTGCTCTTCTCCCTCACTGATGAAGTCCGGAACATAATAGGCCGCTGGTGGATACTGTACATGGAAAAGAGATCAGAAATTCTTAATTAAGGGGATCCTTAACATGCCCCCCCTGCCTGGACAGGGGGGTGGGTTGCTAAAACCAGGGTGATACAATACAACCTAGCTTTGCACCCCGTGTTGAGGTCTTAGCATGAGGCAGGAACCCCTTCAATTCACTAGACTAGAAACAGGGAGACAGGGGGTTCTGGTCCTGCCTTAGCCATGAAAGGCAGCTGGGGAACTTTGGGCCAAACATCAGGAGACAGTGAGTTCTAGTCCTGCCTTAGACACGAAAGCTGGCTGGATGACTTTGACTCAGTCTCTCTGTGGTCTCTCAGCCCAGCCCAGCCTAACCCAGGGTTGTTGTGGGGCAGGGGTCTTCAAACTTGGCAACTTTTAAGACTTGTGGAATTCTGGGAGTTGAAGTCCACAAGTCTTAAAGTTGCCAAGTTTGAAGACCCCCGTTGTGGAGGGGAAAAGGAGGAGGATGGTGTATTAGGTATGTTTGCTGCGTTATTTGTAAAAATTGTGAGGACAAGCTGGTGGGGCCCTGGCCAGGCCCAGCTTCTTCCTGGCCTCTGCTGACCCCGCTGCACAGCCAGCTAGCTGAGGGGCCCAAATGCAGGAGGGAGATGCCTTGTCTAGTCTAATGAGGACTAGGGGTGACCTGATAGCAGAGTTCCGTATTTGAGGGGCTGCCCAAAAGAAGAAGGGGTCAAATTATTCTCCAAAGCATCTCAAGGCAGGACAAGAAGCAACGGAGGGAAACTAACGAAGGAGAGAAGCAACCTGGGATTAAGGAGGAATTTCCTGACAATGAGAACAGTTAATCAGTGGAACAACCTGCCACCAGAAGTTGTGGATGCTCCAACACTGGAGGTTTTTAAGAAGAGACTGGACAGCCACTTGTCTGAAATGGGATAGTGCAGGGGTAGGCAACCTTGTCTCTTTTATGACTCAGGGACTTCAACTCCCAGAATTCCTGAGCCAGCCTGGCTCAGCATGGAAACCTCTCCCTTTCCCCTCAGCGTGGCTGGCTCAGGAATTCTGGGAGTTGAAGTCCACGAATCATAAAAGAGCCAAGGTTGCCTACCCCTGGATCTGATAGGCTTTCCTGCTTGAGCAGGGGGCTGGACTAGAAGACCTTCAGGGTCCCCCCCCCCCAGCTCTACTCTGGCTGATTGATAATACAGACGGCGCATAAAGAAAGAAATAAATGCTGCCTTCCTCCAGTCCAAAGCCACCTTCCCTGGGAACATACTTGGGCTAGGCGGAAGGGCTCCATCGCCCACACCTGCGGCCTCTCGGGACCAGCGCTGGCCATCCGGAGCTTGCTCGGTTTCTTCTCCAACCTGGCCAGGACAGGTGACCCTCCGCTTCTCACCTGCGGAAAGACAACGGGGGAGAAGTGGGGGTGGGGGCTCATTACAACCTTGCCCTGAGCTCCGGCTCTCGCCCCCCCCCAATTTCATCCTGACTGGTCCTTCGGCGGAGGGGGCGAGGGGGGGGTGGGCTAGCTTAGGCAGCACCTGCTGAATTTCTGCCTGCAGGGCCGCTCCAAGGGCCCCTGTGAAAAGGGGGTCGGGGCTAGATTAGCAGGCGGAGGGGGGGCTTCGGGAGACCCCCTGCCCGGAGACTGAGCCCCCTCCGTCTCGGGAGCCACTCACAGGCACATGGCTACCGGCTCCCTTCCGGGTAGTTCCTGGAGCGGCAGCCGCCTCGCCCAATCAAAACGTGAGCTTTGCCGGGCCCGCCTTTCTGCGGTGGAAAGCACCAATCCGCATTCAGAGCCAGATTAAAAAAAAAAAACCAGGGTCGCTCGGCATTCTGGGAGTTGTATTAACACTCTCTCTCACACACACACACGTGTCTGAAATGTATATTAGAGCAGAAGCATTTCAAGGAGAGGGTGGGTTAATATTTGCCCTCCTCCCCCAAATTTGGGACCTTGGAGGTCTTCTAGTCCAACCTCCTGATCAGGCAGGAGACCCTGTAACCATTTCAGACAAATGGCTGTCCAGTCTCTTCTTAAAAACCTCCAGTGGTGAAGCCCCCACAACTACTGGTGGCAAGGAGTTCCACCGGTTAATTGTTCTCACTGTCAGGAAATTTCTCCTTAGTTTTCCGTTGTTTCCTTCCTTGATTAGTTTCAATCTGTTACTTCTTGTCCTGCCCTGGGGTCCTTTGGAGAATAGTTGGACCCCCCCCTTCTTTGTGGCAGCCCCTCGGATATTGGAAGACGGCTATCATGTCCCCACTAGTCCTTCTCTTTGTAGGCTAGACATATCCAATGTTTGTTAATACGCTATGCGGTTGTTCCAAGCTGGGCTTTTACCTGCAAAATTCATGATGCATCTTAAATGTCCTAATTCCCCCCCCCCCCGAGAAAGAGCGAAAAGGAAGAATCTTGGACACAGTGCACATAGAAACACCTTTTATTAATTTGTTAATAACAGATAAGCAATAACATACTGAGTTTCATCATGCTCACTTTTTTTTGCTTTCCTTCCAGAGAACCTGGATGAGCAGGGAGGGTCAGGGAAGACAGAAACCATGCAAGATTCCACGGGGAGCTTAGCAGAGGGCACGGCAGGCTGTCTCACATGACGGTTTACAAAATTATTTCTCTTTGAAAAATTAAAAAAAAAGAAAGACATCTAGGCAGGAAGAACACAATCCGGTGTGATCTCTACGGAAAGAAAGGTTGTGAAGAGCCATCGCGTTGCTCTCGAGGCTGGTCTGTGCCTTTGAGGATTAGGCCAGTCCTGGTGGATAATTCAAGGGCGGGGGGGGGCTACCCTCCATTGAGAAGAGGGGGGGGACACACCAAGATTGTGCCCGACATCAAACTGAAGTCAACCAAAGGTTTATTTATTGCTAGTCAAGGTGACAGAAAACTAAGTAGACAAATGAAGTGAAATGTTTCCAGCAGTTTTCTATCATCTGGCATCTGGAAATTTAAATTAAAAAATAAATAATTTCCAGCAATGTTGGGAATAGTCATCCCAACTCATTAGGGGGAGCCAGTTTATGCAAGGCTGGTTCGAACTTCGATGAGAATGAAACGTGGGTCTAAACTGGGGGGGGGGCGGGGTCGCAAGGACCACAACGCAATGCAACAATGACCGCGGGAAGGATGTGGGATGAAATGAATCGGAAGCTTCAATGTAGCCATTTGGGTTTTTTTAAAATATCATTTTATATATCTGTACATAAAGGTCCCCAACGTTTCGCCAAGCTTGGGGTTCTTTCTCGTGGCTTGAATGCCACCCTCCCTTTTTTATTTTTAAAATCAGTCCAAAAATAGATGCCCACACCATCTCCCCTTCTGATGTTCACCCCATTTTCCCAAATGGAATATTGTGGCCTTTTAGCAGCTATGCCACAAGACCGGAATAACAAGAGTTGGAAGGGACCTCGGAGGTCTTCTAGTCCAACCATCTGTTCAAGCAGGAAACCTATACCGTTCTGGACAAATGGCTGTCCAGACTCTTCTTAAAAGCCTCCAGTGTTGGAGCACCCAAACTTCTGGTGGCAAGCTGTTCCACTGATTGATTGTTCTCACTGTCAAGAAATTCCTCCTTAGTTCCAGGTTGCTTCTCTCCTTGATTAGTTTCCATCCATTGCTTCTTGTCCTGCCTTCAGGCGCTTTGGAGAATAGTCTGACCCCCTCTTCTCTGTGGCAGACCCTCAGATATTGGAAGACTGCTACCATATCATCCCTACTCCTTCTCTTTGTTAGGCTAGACATACCCAGTTCCTGCAAGCATTTATCATGTGTTTTACCATGCAAGGGGCATTTACAGAGCATAGAACATAGAATCCTAGGGCTGGAAGGGACCAGAGAGGTCCTCTAGCCTAACCTGCTCAAGCAGGAGACCCTGTGCCAGGGTGTCCAACCTTAGTAACTTTAAGACCTGTGGATTTCAACTCCCAGAGTCCCCCAGCTAGCCATAAGGCCACAAATTTGCCAAGGTTGGACACCCCTATCCCATGCCATTCCAGACAAATGCTGTCCAATCTCTTCTTAAAAATCTCCAGTGATGGAGCACCCACTTCTGGAGGCAGGTTGTTCCACTGGTTAATTGTTCTCCACTGTCAGGAAATTTCTCCTCAATTCTAGGTTGCTTCTCTCCTTGATTAATTTCCATTTGCTGCTTCTTGTCCTGCCTTCTGGTGCTTTGGAGAGCAGGCTGCCCACTGGCCTTGTCCCCGGATACCTGTCCCCACAAAGCCCAACCTTACTGGGTTTCTGCACAAACAGCACAGAGATTGAAGGCACACAGGGTCTTAAAGTGACAACCTTGACCTCCATCCCTAATCAATGAGCAGATGGTTCTCTCTCTTCTGGGTTGACAAAGGTGATAAGGAAAAGAAATTTGGGACAGCCAGGTGAGCTTTTGCTCAAGGCCAGGTGGAGGGGAGGGACCTGCCTCCCAAGCCAGGAGAAAATTCTAGACTTCAGGCTCAGCTTCAAAGCAGATGACAGAAGAACGTTGACACGAGTCAAGAGCGAGCGGAGAAACGTCGATGTTTCTCCATAGAGAATGATTCCACCATCAGCACCACAAAGTTTTGCTGTTTTCGTTTCTGCTTTCTGAGTTCACACCCTTCACACTCACAAGTCAGGCTCAGCACTCAGGCTTAGATAAGATAAGATAAGATAAGATAAGACCCTTTTGCCCTCCCCAAAGTCAGTGAAAACTACGTTTGGTTCAACCAAGACAGGAAGCTATCTGTAAAAGGCTGAAATGTTACTAAAATGGATTAAGACGGGTGTTTTTCAAACTAGGCCACTTGAAAATGGGAGGACTTCAACTCCCAGAATTCCCCAGCCTGGGGAAAAAACTCTGGATTAAGATTTAATGCTGTGCAGCTGATAAATGCAAGGTTAAGATCAAATTCACTTACAATATCTTCCCCTGCCTTTTGCTTTAAAAAACAACAACAGAGAACAGACTTCTGGTATTGTACTTACACACAGAGAGACACGCAAACACTACACACCATCAGAGGATGCTATTGGGCGGTTCACCCCTCCCTGTATGTTAATTTGCACAGACATATGCTAAGCACAGGCTGCTTAACTCACACTAGGCTTGCTTTAAGGTGTCCGGTTGCATCGGTAACCCAAAGAGGGAGGTTTCGGCTAGAAAGGAAGATGGCTACTTAGGGTATCGGTGGGCAAAGACATTCGCACTCGGCACCCATTCTGCTCACACGTTAGTCACAAAATGGGCAGATGATTTAAAGCCGGGTTTAAATCTGCATTCATGGGCACACTTAAGATTAAGTCACCAAAATGAGCAGAGATTTGCTCCTTGGCAGAGGAGAGGCGTCTGGCTTTCGAAATTGGTTGATGATAAGATAAAAACTGCTTAGGAAAAAAAGGGAGACGCCGAGGAATTTTAGTAAGGCTGCATTTGCATGGAAGAACAAGCCACGATTCTGGAGAGAATCTTAGCTTGATGTTCAACAAGCTGCCTGCTTGGGACTCAGCTCCTAACTGGTCAACCAAGCAGCGCAATTCTTGACCACAGCCCTCCTCAATGGAGCATTTGTGGCCCACATTGGCCCAAGGCAGTGTTTTTCAAACTCGGCAACTTGAAAAATGTACGCGGACTTCAACTCCCAGAATCCCCCAGCCAGCAAGTTTAGAAACAAGAGTGCCAGTTTCCTATGTCTGTCACTCAAAGGGCTGGGTCAATTGCAAACTAGGGGAGACCGTTGTCCCTTAGCCTGCAGACTCAATTTTAGAATCGTAGAATCCTAGGGCTGGACGGGACCTCAGAGGTCTTCTAGTCCAGCCCCCCGCCCAAGGCAGGAGGTCTTATTCCACCCTAGACAAACGGTTGTCCAAGGAAGCCAAGTGGATTTGCAATGTGCTTTTTCGCGGTGAAGACCTCAGAACTGGACTATGGACTTCCTGATTGCCGGAAAGCTCAGAGACGTGTCTCCCAACCATAACTGAAGGGACGTCCTCCCCCCTGTCCCCCCCAGTAGAAAAATGATTCTAATGGCCGTTGCCAGATCCTCAAAAGAAGTGCTAGAAGAGAGCGGTGGTGCCACAGCTCAGAAAGTGGGGGGACAAACAGGAGGGGTTTAGCATTTCTCACAATCTACTGGGGTGCTCAGGTGATCTAGCAAGGCACTGGGTTCACTAGGGTGGTGATGGAGGCGGGGAGCAGGAGAGGTGAGCGACAGATCCGAAGAGCAGTCTTTGATTACGTGGAGAGCGAAGAAAGAGCAGAGGAAGAGGAGGAAGAGAGAGCGCTGTGGGGGGGGGAGAGAACTCTACGGCTGCATTTCCGCACGCAGCATCCACGGGAACCAGCAACAGAAGAGGATCCTGTGGGAGAGAACAGGAAGCGTGGTCTGTGATTGGTGGGAAAGAAGGGCATGGATCTTCTGAAGACCCTTGGGGAAGGTCTACCTGGTCCATGGAGGACACCTCAAAGGGGTGAAGGAATTCTTGCTGGCTTAGATTAGGATTGAGGTCAAATAGGAGCATCACACGAAGAAGACCCAACCCACAACTCAACAACAAGGATGCTGAGGCAAGTTCGTGGAATGAAATTCAACCACCCAGGAGTGAATCACCCGTGGAAGGATCTAGAAACTCAAGAGGGGGGTGGCCTTCTTCTTTCAGGGGCTCTTGAATCATTTTCCACCCTCCACATGGCCTGTTGCTAGAGGCATGGATTTACAACCATGTTTCTCCCCCTTGGGCACTTTGAGATGGGTGGACTTCAACTCCCAGAATTCCCCAGCCGGGGATCCCAGGGGGCTTCGAAGATGGCCAGATCCCAGTGGCTCTTACCTAGAGATGGAATTTTCTGACGTGATGTCTTTCGGAGATCTGACTGTGGTGAAATTGCGCTTCGGCTGTGAAACTGCAACAGAGGGGGAAAGTTATTATTTTTCTTAAACTGGGAAAGGAGCCCGTTCGATGCCCCTCGGCTCCCGGATCTTTGCTCCTGGAGGAGAAGACGTTGAGGGCCTTACAGTATGGACTTGGCAATACTTGGAATATGGTTTTTGTAGTACCGTTGCACTGGCTGGCTAGCATGGGTTTTCTTGCCTTTGAAACTTTTACGCAGAATATATCGAATATTTTTTTACCAGTCCTGGTTACTAAAAGGGAGTTTTTTCCTGACCGTTAAGGCTTTTGGCAAATTATTAGCAGCACATTTGAAAAAAGGCAAATTTAGAGCACAAGAAAACTCATGTTATTTAGCCTGTGCAACAGGACTTATGCCCAAGCATGTTTACCCGTGTAGTATGGCTGTATTACTTTTACCCTTCTCATCTCTTCCACTACCTTCTCTTATTGGTATCATTATGATTATTATGACTTTGATATATGATTATTATTACTTTGTTGTTTTGCATGTACGCTGAGAACTTCTGCACCGGAGACAAATTCCTTGTGTGTCTAATCACACTTGGTCAAATAAAGTATTGTATTCTATATCACCAGTATTACAAAGTCCGTGTGGAAGTCAGCAGAGGCACATGGATGCTTGCCAGAAACCGAGCCGTGTGGGTTCCCAGCAAATTCCCCCCCATGTTGCTTTCCCACAGCCCTTCCGTTCCCCCAAATAGTGTCGAAGTGAAGTCCGGGGTGTACCTACTGGTAACTTGGTGCACCTTCTTTCCTGAAGTGCCATCTTGGGAGTCCTTGGGGCCTCCAATTCTGCAAGAGAGAGAGAGAGAGAGAGTTGCAATTCACTTAAGAACAAAGATAACAGGGAGTCCTCAAATTACATCCATTCGCTTAGTGACCGTTTGAAGTTACAATAGCACTGAAAAAAGCGACTTATGGCTTCTTGCGATTATGACCATCGCAGCATCCCCATGGTCACGTGGCTAACCGGGGAATTCTGGGAGTTGAAGTCCACGGGTCTTCAAGGGGCCAAGGTTGGATACTCCTGGCACAGAGCAGGGGGTTGGACTAGAAGACCTCCAAGATCCCTTCCAGCCCGAGGATGCTATACAATCCAAGGAAGCCTCATTCCCAGCACCCAAACAGCCAACCTACCTCTGGACCCTGGACGGGGGGGCAAAAACGCCATGCTTAGGGGCGCAGGTGAAGTAGCGAACCCCAAAAACAGAGCCGTCGTGCTTCCCTGTCGGTTTGTCCAGCTCAATTCCAAACCAGTAGCCTAAAAGAAGAGAGACGGACAACAGAGAGCAGTGTAAACATTGTCTCAATATTTGCACTAGTTGTGACTTATGTCGTACCGTCCATGAGTCCTGATAAGGGTCGCAAACGGTTGAGATCTCATATTTCAGGGGCCCCCCCCGGTCTTCATTCCCGCCCTCAGGCAGGGTCTTCCCATTCCAACCTCTACCTTGTCGGCCTTACCTGGAGCAAAATCGGTCTTCCCGTAGAAACGAATGACCCCTTGCTTCTGTCCGGCCACCAGCACCTGATCTCCAATGTCGATCTTCAGTCCTTCGCGGTCCAGGCTGCCCACGGATAAGGACTTCTTTCTGAGCGCTGGGCGGAGAAGGGAGAGGAATAAGGGGAACAAATTTTGGGTGACCCCCCCCATGTAGGATTCCAAGGTGGGGGTTTGCTTGCAGACGTTTCATTACCCAACTAGGTAACATCATCAGTGTTAGAAGGGGAAGGAGTTTGCAGAGTGGAAGAAAAGGAGAAGAGGAAGGAGGGAGGAGGAGGAGGACAACTGTGGGGTCCTTGGTGCTCTCTGAAGTTGGTTGTTTCCATGCAGACATTTCATTGCCCAACTAGGTAACTTCATCCGAGGGAGGGAGGAGGGAGTTTGCACCCCGTTTATATAGAGTTGTCTTCTCTGCCAGTCTTAGTGGGTGTCGTTTTCTCCTTGGTAGTGCCTTGATTAGAGTATTGTTTTTTGCTTGATTGTTTGTCTGGTGTGAATCCCTGCTTATCTAACTGCTGGCTGCTGCAGAGGAGGGGTTCCCCCACATTTACCAGCACTGATGATGTTACCTAGTTGGGTCATGAAACGTCTGCAAGCAAACAATCAAGCTCAGAGAGCACTAAGGACCCCACAGTTCAACCTGGATGTCTGGTGCTGGTATTCCCCCCCCCAGCAGCCACCCTCTGGGGCCTGCCAGCCGCCAGGGACCCCTTCTGCAGCCCCCTTTCCAAAGAGCCCCCAAGCTACCTTTCCGGTCCTTGTCCTTCTCCTTGCGCCCTTTGGCTGTCATGCGGGAAAAATCCATGCGGGGGGTCCGTGGGGTGGAGGTGACCGATGGTGTTTGGTCAGCAGCTTTGGAGATCTTGGACACCGAAGCAAATAGTCCTGGGAAGGCAAGAAAGAAGAAAAGGGCAGCTCTGGTTAATAACGCGGGCTGTAATTCCACCATGTTCGTCCACTAAGCAAGGCAGTTGTTAAGGGAGATGGGAGTTTAAGAAGCATGATAGATAGATAGATAGATAGATAGATAGATAGATAGATAGATAGATAGATAGATAGAGAGAGAGAGAGAGAGAGAGAGAGAGAGAGAGAGAGACAGAGACAGAGACAGAGACAGAGACAGACAGATAGATATGTGACCGTGGGGATGCTGCAGCGGTCGTAAGTGTGAGGACCGGTTGTAAGTCACTTTTTTCAGTGCTGTCGTAACTTCAAACGGTGGGTTGAAGTCCTACCTCTGCCAAAACTCACCATGCTTCGGAGGGCAAATGAAGTAGCGGATGCCGCCCACGCTGCCATCATTCTTGCCCTCCGGCGTATCCAGCTCCACGCCGACCCACTGGCCACTGGCAAACTCAGTGGTGCCACAGAAACGCAAGGTGCCCACCTGCAGCCAAACATGATGGGGTCAAATTGGGTGTGGAGAACAGGAAATTACCTGCGCATCACCTGGCTGGAAACGGATGTAATCTGAGCTGGGAATCTAATGGGACGCTAAGGATCCCTCCAAAACCTAATTCAACAAGGCTGATCCAGATGGGGAAACAGCGGCTGGTATAGGTGGCTGACTGGCACAGGTGGATATTCGGATGGCAGTGTAATGTGTAGCCCAGCCCCAAGAGTTATATAGATTGCAAACAATCTTGGATAGCTGTTCTAGGGGTACCTCTCATGTTAACTCCCTATACAGTCTGAAAGGTTCCCAAATTTTCATGGGTGCTGCAGAAGTGGCTATGTTCTTGCACACAGATGTCCCTTGCTTCCTTCCTTCTTTCTTTCCTTTCCTCTCTCCCACTCCTTCTTTCCTTCCTTCTTTTCTTCCTTCCTTTCTTCTTTCCTTCCTCCCTCCCTCCCTCCCTCTCTCCCTTCCTTCCTTCCTTTCTTTCTTCCTTCCTCCCTCTCTCCCTCCCTCTCTCCCTTCCTTCCTTCCTTCCTTCCTTCCTCCCTCCCTCCTACCAAATCCAATCTTTGATTATCTTTGGCTACACATCTGTAGATTAACGCAGACCGAGCCCTGAAGAAGGTACACAGGAACTGTTAAGAGAAAATATAATTCTGTCCCTGGAGAGGGGGAAAAAGTGAGGAAGAAACTCAAGACGGTCCTGCCTTCATTCTCTTTGGCACAAGAGGGGACAGAGGGGAAAATCTGGCTGGCTTTCAGGATTCGGTAATCCTATCCTGCAACACTGAGAGAGCAATTCCGCAATTCCTGCCCTATCAGACCTCCACGGTGGGGTTCCCCATCCTTAGGCAGATGACAGAACAGGCAGTTCCCATGAGCCTGAGAGAGACCCGGGGGGAGGGGGGGGAACCCTCTCCTCTCCCAGGTCCTTGTGCAGGTGCGCCTTCCTTACCTTCTGCCCGTCCACCAGGACCCGGTCACCCAGCTTGAGGCCAAGAGAGAGCAGCATGAGATTGCCAGGAATATTGTCGTAGTTGGGCAGGGTGACCTTGGGCAGGGTGCACGTCAGGGGCACAGCGTCCAGCAGCAGCTGCTTCAGCTCCTTGGCGATCATGGCAGCCTCGGCCTTGTCCAGGGTCATGTCCATGGGATCGGGCACGACGTCAGCTGGGACCTGCCCTTTGCTGTTCTGTTGAGAGAAAGAGAGAGAGGGGGGGGACAATGCAGTTTCCCCCACCCACGGACAATGCGGGCTCTCTCCACCGATTGCACTCAAGGCCTCCTTCATAAAGTTAAAGGGGGGGTGTCTGGGGAGACCCCTTTCTCAGGGTCTCCATGAAACACCAAGGAAAGCTGGGTGCTTCCAACGAAAAATAACAGAATATCAGAGTCAGATGGCACCTTGGAGGTCTTCTAGTCCAACCCCCTGCTCCAAGCAGGACACCCTATATCAGTGGTTCTCAACCTTTTTAATGCCACGACCCCAACCGGTCGTAAGTCGAGGACTAAACCAGTCATAAGTCGAGGACTAAACTGGTCGTAAGTCGAGGACTTTCCCTGCCCGGAAGCGCCACGCATGCGTGGTTCTGCCCCCTGCGCCGGCCGAGGCGTAGCTGGCAAGCGGCAGAGACGGAGCAGGCCGACCACCAGCTGGCCCAGCCCAAGGGAGGTAAGGCACCCGCTGGAAAAGGGGGAAAAAATGGCGGACAAAAAAATGGCGGACAGCCTTGCTTGGCGACCCCCATGAAATGGTCGATCGACCCCAAATGGGGTCCCGACCCACAGGTTGAGAACCACTGCCCTATATCAATTCAGACAAATGGCTGTCCAATCTCTTCTTAAAAACCTCCAGTGATGGAGCACCCACAACTTCTAGAGGGAAGCCGTTCCACCAGTTGATGGTTCTCACTGTCAGGAAATTTCTCCTTAGTTCTCGGCTGCTTCCTTCCTTGATTAGTTTCAATCTGTTGCTTTTTGTCCTGCCTTCGGGTGCTTTGGAGAATAGCTCGACACACATACACACACACCCCACTCTTCTTTGTGACAGCCCCTCAAATACTGGAACACTGCTACCACGTCATGCCCTAGTCCTTCTCGTCATTAGAATAGATATACCCAATTCCTGCAACTGATTCTCGTACATTTTAGCCTCCAGCCCCCCTGATCATCTTTGTTGTTCTTCTCTGCACTCTTTTTTTAAGGGTCTCAATATTTTTTGCATTGTGTTGACAACCTTTTTCTTTCCGCTAATGTCACTTACAGCAGCGTCGCTGGAGGTGCTCACCTACACCCAGTCTCCTGACTAACAGGCTGGGCTATTTATACGGCATCTTCAAAATCTAATTTTTGCCTCTGGTTTGACACATTTTGTATGTGAGCCTCAATTGGTGTCTGGTTCCTCTGGCAGCCATCTAGAGAGGGGTCGGTCCAAAGTCCCCGACATGCATTAAAAACGAACGAATCACATCTAACAGAAGATCTAATTGCATCAAATAATAATAATAATAAAGAATATTGTGAAGGCATTGGATCAATGTTCCATGAGAATGGGGGTCTTTCTTATTGTCGGTCAAAGACCCATCTGCCCGTTATCTGTGCCCCCCCTTTTTTTTCTCACCCTGACAGCGGGGTTGGCCCCATGTTCCAGAAGACACTTCACGGCCCCCAGACAGAGATTCGAAGCAGCGATGTGTAAGGCGGTTCCATGGTTAAAATCACTGCATGTCGAGTTGAGAACTTCAGGGGGAAAAAAGCAGTACGGACTCAGTTGGGATTCTGAATTAGTTTAGGATGCATTTGCACAATACTAGGCTCTGTACAGGAGCCAGGAGTGGGGAACCTTGGAGGAGGCCCAGCGCCAGGAGTGGGGAACCTTGGCTCTTTTACGACTCGTGGACTTCAACTCCCAGAATTCCTGAGCCAGCCATGCTGAGGGGAAAGGGAGAGGTTTCCAAGCTGAGCCGTGCTGGCTCAGGAATTCTGGGAGTTGAAGTCCAGGAGTCATGAGGGGGCCATAGTTCCCCCATGCTGGCTCAGGAATTCTGGGAGTTGAAGTCCACCAGTCATGAAGGGGCCCTAGTTCCCCCATGCTGGCTGAGGAATTCTGGGAGTTGAAGTCCGCCAGTCATGAGGGGGCCATAGTTCCCTCATGCTGGCTCAGGAATTCTGGGAGTTGAAGTCCACGAGTCATGAGGGGGCCCTAGTTCCCCCTAGCCAGCCTGCTATTGAACTTGAAGAGGGGTGGGGAATTCTGGAAGTTGAAGTCCACCCCTCTTCAAATTCCCAGGGTTGCCAAACACCGTCCTGAGCCATTAGTTGGTTGACTTAAAAATGGCGATTGACAGCGAAAGTGCCAGGTCATTTTGGCCTCCCTCCACCTGGGCAACATGTCCGACCTCCTTCGTGCAAACACACCTTTGGGCTTGGAGGCCTTGAGGAGGATGCGGATGAGTTCGGGGACGTCAAAGTAGGCCGCGTAATGGAGCGCGTTCATGTTGGTCCAGCGGCTGCGCAGCGTCACATCTGCGTCCAGGGCCAGCAGCTGGTTAGAGAGGCGCACGGCGGCAGCGGGATCACCTGGGATGAGCAGAAGCACAGGTGAGCTCCATCGAAAGCCTCCCCCTAAAGGGAACTGACCCCATAAGTCAACTCTAAGTGAGAGGGGGAGGGCACATAAATCAATACAATAATAACATAAAATTAAAATAATAAATAAAATAAAATATAAAAATAATAAAATAAAAATAAAACAGGAAGTAAAACGGGAAGTAAAAAGGGAAGTGAAAAGGGAAGTAAAAAGGGAAAGGAAGGGAAGTAAAAAGAATTGTTAGCAAGTACTTTAGGAGTGGTGCTTTATTCTTTCTCCAGAGAACTAAATTCTAATCCAAACTACAATGACTCTTTTTTCTTGGAAAAAAATAGAGGCAACAAGGAGGATTTTAAAAAAATATAATTTTGCTTGGTAAAGGAAAATTCAAGTGCCTAGGAAACCAGGAAAAAATATACGAAAATGCATATTCTAATAAAGGACGGCTTTCTCAAATAATGGACACACAGTCATGGTAATCTACATTTTATAAGAAAGGGAGAGGTTTGTCAAGAAGGGGCTCGGAAAATTCAGATTGTGTTTTTTGGGCAATTCAGCACCACTCTGGGCATAAAGCACAATGCAAAACTGGACCAGCAGAT